ATGTACCGAATGGGATTAATGTTCAAAACCAACTACCTTATCTGCTTAGAAAGGGTGTCTTTACTTATCTACATTTTGGGCAGATGAGGGACCTCGGAGGAAGAGGATTGAATTGATCATACTCTTCAACCCGTGACATCATTAATCCTTTCTCTTATGTAAGTGTGTACATACATATTTATATATTTTCTTTATCTCCATTCCTCTTTCTAATTCCCTCACTCCTCTCCCTACAGTGGCATCCACCCTAATGTGTTCGACATACATATTTTTGTTATTAAGTATCTTTATATAATGTACACTATTTTGAATATATTATTTTCATTTAAGGAAACATAGGTCCACAATTACTTATCCACAATTATGAAACCTACACAACTCTGGATATCAAAAGTATTTTCTTAAACTCATTTAGCAGTAAAACCAGACTCAATTGACATGAGGTTATTTGTCATCTTTCTCTGCTTAGAGTGACTATGCCTACATTTTGCTGCAGAAATAATGTGTTTGATCATGAGACGCTACCTATTCCGATTCTAAAATCTGAATTTTCTGAATTCCAAAATAAATCTTACCCCTAAGAGTTTAATGATCTATCTCTAATATTATACATAGGTCTTATTCTGTTTTTACCTTTATATTTTTTACCCAGTATTTTGTTTTCACGATTTATCCATGTTGCTGTACGTACATCTAGTCTGCTTCTTCTAACTGCTGCAGAATACTCTATCTATGCAGTACATCCCTCACATTTTACGTAACTACTCCCCCACTGGTGGGCAGCTAGATTGCCTCCAATTTCCCACCACTACCAACAATGGCTTAATAAACATCCTCATACACGTCCCTTTATGGACCTGTGGGAGAACTTTTCTGGGATATACAGCCAGGGTAGAATAGCTGGGTGTGCATATACTTAATCTGACCAAATAATGCCATGTTGCCCCCCAAGAAATCGCACACTGTCCTTGTGTCGTGTGAGGGATCCTGGAGTCCCGTATTCCCCTCGACACTTGTTGGTATCCAGTGCTCTAACTTTTGCCAGTCTATAATTAGATCAGGTGTAAAGTGATATCTCATTGTTTCCCTTTGCATTTTTCCGATTATAATATATTAGAGCATTCTCTGCATTTTTTAACCTTTGGAGTTTTCTTTATGTAAATTGTCTGTTCATAAACTTTGGCTGTTTTCATCAGGTGTCTGCCATTTTGTTGCTGATTTGCAGGAGTTCCTTGTATATTCTCCTATTGATTTTAGACATTGCGAAGTATCTTCTCCAGTCTGTCAGCTGTCTGTTAATTCTGTCCATGGTATCCGCCATAAAATAGAAATCTTTAATTTTTATGTAATCCAATCTACCAGTATTTTGTCTTATGGTTTAGGGCTTTTGATGTTTTAAGAAGTCCTTCCCACCCCTGAGTGACAAAGATAGTCTCCTGCATTTTCTTCTACTGCTGTCACAGCTTTACCTTTCACAGTCTTTAGTCCACCTGGCGCTCACCTCACTATGTTGATTTAGGTTGGGGTCCAGTTTTATTTTTTACCATATAGGAAGCATTTTCTACTAAACAACCCATGCTTTCCTCCTTGATCTGGGTGCCATCTGTCTCTTATACTCATATATGAGTCTGTTTCTAATCTATTTTGTTTCAATGAACATTTATCTGTTCTTTTGCCAATGTGACTATTCTTATTACTATTGCATTGAACTGTGTCCTTATATCTGGAAGGGCCAGTCTCTCTCTTTATTATTCCTTTGTAAGTTTAGCTTAGATATTTATGGACCTTTATTCTATAGTTACACTAACTCATGTAATAATCACAACAACCCTATGATATAGGAATTTTTATTATCATCATTTTCCAGAAGAAACCCAGAGAGATAAGAAACTTGCCCCCAAACGCACAAGTACATAGCCCTGACAGAATTCACATACAGTCCAAACTCTTAACCCCTGCACTGCTTCTCTAACTAAAAGCAGTTACTTTATAGTATAGCTGCTACTGTGAATGTGAGTCTTACTACAGTTTCTAAATGGTTAATGTAGACATTGAAAAATGTGATTTTTTTTGTAAGATGGTATTTGTAGCTGATGAAGTTGCTGAATTCTCTCATTACTTCTAGTATTTGGTCTGTTGATTCTGTTGTTTTTTAGTATATCAACTATAAATAATGACAGTTTTACCTTTTCATTTCCAATTTTTAAATATCTCTCTCTCCCTCTTTTTCTTTTCCCCCACCCCCTTTATAGCATTGGCCAAGACCCCCGGTACTATGTTAGCTACTATGTAGCAGTGATCATGGACAAAAAATGTTTCTTATAGAAAAGTCATGTTATTCCAGTAGAAGCAATTTTATCTCTGCTACAGTATGGGCAGCGCATCAGAGAACTGTTCCACGGAAGTACAGGTTAGAAACTGTGTCTGGTGGCCAAACATCTATTCTGAGCAGAGACCCTGTGCTCATCTGTGCAGCAGAAATTTATTTTCCATGAGAGATGATCTTTGTAGGGGAGAAATGGCTCAGTTGTGATAAACTTGACTTCATTCTCACTTTAAGTACATTTAACTCCATCCCAAGTCCCTGTGGCAACAGCACAGCTCTGCACCTGCCATTTGCTTTACACAGTCTGTTAGGCGTGATTGTTTCTGACAATGGGTTGGTCTGTATTCCCATGGGGGAATTCACAGACAGCAGCACTGGAAGGGGTCTTACAGATCAACCATCTCCCATTTTACACACTCCTCAAAGTCTTCTGGTGGATGGCACTTCACCCTCCAGCAGATGCTCCGCCTGGGGGTGCCAATGCCAGCAAGGCAGCCGGGCTGATCAGAAACCAGGGGTGAGCTGGGCTTTCCCCTCATTGTTCTGGTTGCTCCATCTTCAAGGTGGCTTAGTGTTCGAGGCTTACAGTGACCTCAGCCACCCAGACTTTGACAGCGACCCGAAGGAGGGAAGGAGGAAGCACCCCCTCTTCTCTCCTGTATCCCAGAGCTGGGCCCTGGCACTTCCGGTGGTGGGGTCCTGGGCCCAAGCGCAGTCAGATCCATTGAAAGCTCCGAGTTGGTGACCAAGCACACCCTCCCCCTGCACACACACACAGGGTGACTAAGGCTTGTGGTAGAAATGAGTGAACTGAAAAGTCCCGCAGGAACCTCAAACCCAGCACATCCAAAATGGTACTTCTCACCATCCCCTCCAAACTCAGAACCCTCTTACAGTAACCTCACTGCAGGAACTGGAACGACCCCCTTCTCAGAGTCTTCCTCTCTCCCACACCTGAGGAGTTACCAAGCCCTGTCCCTTCCCTGTCCTGACAAACCCTCCTGCCTGCCCTCTGGTCTCCATCCTGGATGGCCTTGGCCACACCCTCCCAGCTGCTCCCCTTGCTCCACTCCTGAGACCTGGGTCCATCCTCCACACTGCTGACAGGGATCTCACCATCACACAGATCCAGCCCTGTCCCCTACGGAGCACGCACTCCTTGGCATGGCCTCGTCTTGGCACGGCCCTACTGCCCTCCCCACTCGCACCCACCAGGACCCCCACACCCCACCTCCCTCGGCCCTCAGTGACTGTGCTCTGGTCTCTTTTTCCCAGCCAGGGCCTGCATCACGTCCGCCCCGCGAACACCCTCTTGTCCTTTAACACTCAGCCCGAAGGCCCCCGCCCCTGGGAGCCTTAGGTGCCCCCTTGCCCCCACTGCCCCGTGCGGTGCCGTCTCTCTGGGCCTCGCCGCCCGGAACCCTGGGCCTCCGGGCACTGAATTGTAACGTCCTCTCCTGGGCGCTGTAAGAGACTGGATTCTACCAGACGCTAGTTACCTCATAGCCAGCCTGCTGTCACCCCTTTTCATGGGAAGCTCCATGAACAAAACACAACCGAGTCAGGATTTGGTTTAAGGGTGCCCCAAAGGCTCCATGTTGTTCGCCACTGGATCTCTCACCTGGCACAATGTCTGCCGGGCACATAGTGGGCCATCGGAATGAATGAGTGAATGAATGATGAATAGATAATGAACGAGTGATTTGCTAACCCCCAGCCAGAGCTAGGCGGAAGGTCCCGACGGGAACACATTCAGGATAAAGGGGATAGAACGTGGAGGCGCTCGCGGGCGCCCTCTGCAGGGGAGCTGCGCTGGGGTCGGCGGGGCTGCGCTGCTGGGGCGCGGGGGTCCCGCGAGGCCGAGGGGCTGGGCCGGGGGCCGAGGGCGGAGAGCGGAGGGCGGGCAGCCCGGGACCCTGCGCCTCGACTCGGCGCACATTTCGCTTTCGGTTTGGGCCCGTCTGTAGGCGGCGGGGCCGTCCCGGAATGACTGCGGCCGCGCACCCGGGAGTTAATCCGAAAGCGCTGCAAACCCCGCGGGGCGGACTCCACGTGTCACCGAGAAGCTGATGTAGAGAGAGACAGAGAGAGAAAGCAAGCAAGACACCAGAGTCCCGGGAAAGTCCTGCCGCGGCCTTGGGGCAATTATAAAAATGTGACCCCTGGGTCGGTCTCCCAGCCGCGCCCTCACCTGCAGCGTCCACCCGTCCGCGTTGCGCAGTCCGCTCAGCATGTGCCCGCCGCGCAGTGAGTAACCAGCCGGCCCAGGCTCTCCGCTCGGGGCGCAGGGGCGGGAGACGGGGAAGAGGGGCAGAAGCTGGGGACAGGCTAAGGGGAGGCCAGGAGACAATCAGAAATCTCCTGCAAAGAGGGAAAAAAAGTATTGCGCACTTACTGTGTGCTAAGTAGAAATTGCTTCTGTTAACCTCAAAACAGCCCACGAGCTGCGTGTCCTTGGCCCCACTTCAGGGAGGGGAAAGGCCCAGCGCGGCTCGCCTCTTGCCCAGAGTTCCTCAGCTACATTGTGAGAAGGTGCATCCCAGCCGGCTGCAAAGCGAGGCTCTGTGACCTCGCTGTTTCCAAGACACGCGGTCTTGAGCCTGGGCGAGTCACTTTACCTGGCCTCAGTTTCCCTACTCGTGAAATGGGGGCTTTCTCTGAGTGATCTCTGAGCCCAACACTCCTGTCTCAGCTCATGTAGGGGCCTTCCCGAGGAGCTAACCAGTTGCTGTTAAGTGGATTCCGATTTATGATGACCCTATATGTGTCAGAGTAGAACTGTGTGCCGTAGGATTTTCAGTGGTTGATTTTTTGGCAGTAGATTGCCAGGCCTTTCTTCTGAGGTGCTTCTGGGTGTCTCAAACCCCTAATCTCCCTGTTAGCAGCCAAGTGCAGTAACTGGTTGCACCACACAGAGACCCCTCACAGTGGCTAGCTAGCATCTTGTCCCTTGGTTAGAGCGGCCACCTTCCAAGAACTCAGTTCATGTCTCAGGTGCTGGAGGACTGGAGATGGGTAGGGTGGGGTTGGTGCAGAGAAGACACAGATGGGCAAAGGTGGCCAGAACAGGTGGAGGCAAGCCAAACCGTGTGGACAAGCTCAGCCTGCCGCTCGCTTCTCTTCCAGGCCTCCTCTTTGTAGCCACCGTCATCCTCCTGGCCCACCTCAGCTTGGCCAGGAACCTCCCCGAGGCCTCACCAGGCTCTGGAATGTTCCAGTGCCTCAGCCACTCCCAAAACCTGCTGAGAGCTGTCAGCGACATGCTTCAGAAGGTGAGCTTGTGAATGTCCTGGTGCCCTTTCTGCAGCCTGTCTGTGGGACCTCTGGCCACCGGGAGGAACCACAGGGAAACTGGGAAGTTAATCAGTCGCTGTCAAGAAGGGGAGAGGGAACTTTACAAATGGCCCAACTATTAGCTAAAGAGTCTCAGTGAAATTGGGTCTCCAGAGAAAGCAAGACTGGTAATAAATTATAATGGCATTCATTTTGGCTGTGTCTACACAGAGGAAAGTGGATATTTACAATGTTCCTTGTAGCCTGCCAACACAGGTGGAATTCTGTCAGGTCCATACTGTTTCTCTGACACCATTATCATGCAGGAAACAATCAGGTGCATACTCTGTGCTCTTGGGGCTGCAGAGGGGAATGAGACCTGGCCCTGACGTGGCTCTGCAGCTTCTAGTCTGATGACACAGTACTTGGTCAGCAGCAACCACATCTGGGGAGGCTTGGGACGGCGCACACCCAGCCTTCATTTTCTAAGGGAAGAGCTGCCTAATTCTGTACAGCTTCATTCATTTTCTAAGGCTTCTTATTTTCAAGCAAAAAAATCTTTTTTTCCTTTTTAAAGGTGTTCCAATCTTGATACTATTGCTTTTGCTGCGAAGGCCAAAGACTAACGTTTTAAAAGATGTCCTTTTGCTTTCCTTCTCGATAGTAAATCTTCCCTGAGTGCTTCCTAGCTGGCTGCTTTATGAATATCTTAAAAGCTCAGTGCTCTTCTTAAAGAACTTTTTTTCTTCTAATCTTTCATAACTGAGCAATGTCAGTTGCTCCTTGAGATTCAATCAATCTTAATTAAAAAGGCAGCTCACCAAGTGAAAACAGAAGAGATAAGTGGTTTGATTCCTGAAGAAAGTTTCAGTAAGGGTAAAATTTAGGTGCTCCAATTTAAATAGATGCTTTATGTGAAAAGGCTGACTCTTCTATTCCCAGATGTAGTACCAAAGGTCGAAAGATGACAGAACTCCAGTTCATATTTTTTATATAATTCCTGTGTCAAATTTAGCAGAGCAAATCGACTGGGGGCTACGGGGAGCAGAAGTGGCAAATGCATGTGATCACAGGCCACGACCAGCCCATAGATTCGTAGGACTGGGTACATATACACAACACACACACACACACACACACACACATATATGGAAACCCTGGTGGTGTAGTGGTTAATAGCTATGGCTGCTAATCAGAAGGTCGGCAGTTTGAATCCGCCAGGTACTCCTTGGAAACCCTATGGGGTAGCTCTGCTCTGTCCTGTAGGGCTGCTATGAGTCGGAATCGACTCAACGGCAATGAGGTTTTTT